ACCAAGGAGGGGTCGCTATGAGTCAGGTCTGACTCGATGGCACATAACAACAAGAAGAACAACATAGCATCAAAAAGAATCAATAACTTAGTGATGAGTTTAACCAAACAAGTACACGACTTATATTCTGAAAACTACAAATTACTGAAATAAACCAAAAAGCACCATGTAAATGGAGAGACACTCAAGTCCGTGGACCCAAAGACAAGATGACTAAGACGACAGTTCTTCCCAAAGTGACCTACAGATTCAACCCCATTCCAGTCCAGCTCCCAGCAGGCCTTTCTGCATAAAGTGGCCAGCTGAAATTCATAGGTAAGCACGAAACACCTAATCAAAACAATCTTGAAAAAGAACAAATCGGAAGACTTTCACTTCCCTATTCAGAACATTCTGCAAATCTACGGTGAGCAGGATGGGGTGGGACTGGCACACAGAGACACGGGTGTCGGTGACACCAAGGGGAGAGTCCATAGAGCAGCACTCATATTAATGCCCCACTGATCTCCCACAGGCTACAGGGGCAGTTCAACGGAGAAAGGGCAAATGGTGGGGAACAACTATACACTGAGAAGCAAAATGATGAATTTGGGATCTTACACGATACCATACAGAAAAAAGTAACCAAAAATGGCTTCTCAATCTAAATGTAGAGCTGAAGTTGTAAAAACTCTAAGAGGAAAACAGAAGAGTACATTTCCATGGACGTGGCATAGACAAACGTTACCTGGATACAACCTAAAATCAGAAGCAATCAAAGGAAATACTGACAATTTTGGCTTTTTTGCAATGGAAAACTTTTTCACTTTAAGAAAGATACCATTAAGAACATGATAAGGCAAGCCACAGATAGGCAGGATACGTTTGCAAATCATGTATGTGATAAAGGACTTCTATCCAGAACATACAAAGGACTGCTATTTCAACTCGGTGATATGGCAACAAATACCCAATTTTTAAAGCATGAGTGAAACTTGAACAGACAGTTCACTAAAGGGGCTCTACATGCCAATAATCACATGAAACGATGCTGACAGTTACTCACTGGAGACGTGCAACTTACAACCCCAAGGAGACACCACTTCACTCCCACTAGACTGTCTGTAACTTAAAAGACAACAGCAGATGGCAGTAAGGACATGGACAGACTAGAACCCCCATATGGTGCTGATGGGAATGTAAAATGGTCCAGGGACTTTGGAAAAGGGTTTGTCAGTTTTAGAAATAAAAGCTGAACACAAATATATCATACAACCCAGCAGAACCACTCTAGATGTTTGCACAACTCTGTAAATGAGTTACAATCATTGCATGCACACTTAAAACAAGTGAATTTTAAGGTGGCACAGTAGTTAAGGTATTCAGTTGCTAACTAAAAGGTCAGTGCTCCACAGGAGAAAGACGAGGCAGTCTGCTTTCGAAAAGAGTGCCTTTGGAACTCCATGGAGCAGTTCTACCTGTCCTTAGGGTCACTATGAGTCAGAATTGACTCGGTGGCAGTGGGTTTGTACCCAAGACAAATGAATACATATTTCCATACACACCCTTGTGTACAAATAAACAAATAAGCAACATCATGATAAATGAAGAAAATATTGAGGTTGTCAATGTTTTACTTGGATCCACAATCAACACCCATGGAAGCAGCAGTCAAGAAATGAAACAACATGTTGCACTGCCCAAACATGTTGCAAAAAACCTCCTTAGCATGTTAAAGAGTAAAGATGTCACAGAGGACTAAAGTGGGCCTGATCCAAGCCATGGTATTTTCATTCCCCTCATAGGCACATGGAAGCTGGATAATGAATAAGGAAGACCAGAGAATTGATGCCTTTGAATTACGGTGTTGGCAAAGAATACTGAATATAACATGCACTCTAAGAAGAACAGACAAATCTGCGTTGGATCAAGGACAGCCAGGACGCTCCCCTGGAGTGAGGCTGGCGAGACTTCACTTCACACGCTTTGGTCATCTTATCAGAGGACCAGTCCCTGGAGAACATGATGCTTGATAAAGTGGAGGGTCAGGGAAAATGGTGAAGGCCCTCAAGGAGATGGGCTGACACGTGGCTACAACAATGAGCTCAAACACAGCAGCGACTGGGAGGCCGGCGCAGCACGAGGAGAGCTTCATTCTGCTGCACACAGGGTCACTCTGAGTCAGACCCACTCAACGGCACCTAACAACAACGACAACCCAGACAAACGAAACCATACAGCCACACAAACCCTTGTATATGAATGTTTATAGCAGCATTATTTAGAATTGCCAAAAAAACTATGAAATAAATGAATAAATGAAGTTCGTCAATTGTGGGAGCGATACGGAGCGTGTCACGTCCCAACAAGGAACAGCAGTCAGCTGTGGAAGGAAGGAACTACCAAGAGACACTACAGCGGACGAGCCTCGAAAGCACTGTGCGAAGTGAAGCGCCAGACACAAAGGACCACACGGCGTCCGACTCCACCTACGCCAACTCCAGAAACAGTCAACTCACCCCAGCGGAAAGCAGGTGAGGGGCTGCCAGTGGTCGGGCAGGGGAGGGTGAGTGCACATGACTACAGGGACGCCTCTGGGGTGATGGACGCATTATGAAATTGGAATGCGGTAACAGAGATCCTGCACGGTACACTTCAAACAAGTGACTCTTAAGGGATGTAAATTAGACTTTGATAAAGCTATTTTTTGGATCTGTGTTTGAAATAAACCTAGGAAGTCAATTTTAGGAGGATAATAATCCGAGTAATAAGTACTTGCTAACATCTACGACTGGGAACCAAATCTACGTGCAGAGCAACGTCCGCATTTGGCCAGGATAACACACTGCAGCGGGGAACTGGCCAGGCTTCCCTCTGTTACAGGGACCCTGAGGGGTGCAATGATCAAGCTGCTAACCACAGGGTGGGCAGTTCAAACCCACCCAGCAGCTCGGTGGGAAAGGCGACCTGCCTAGAAGACTCTGCGGGGCTACGAGCTGGAGCCGACTGGAGGACACCCACCACCACCACTCTGGTACTGCCGTGGCTCACCCTCTGGGGCCAGGAAATGGGCCGAGACCCACCAGTGGCCTGGGTTCCCGTGAGATCAACTACGCGAGCGTTGCACTCATGTCACATAGCCGTGCTGTCTCCCTGCCAACGCATCCCTCACAGCAGTAGCCCAGGGAGCCGGGTCTCCTACAGTCCAGGCTCTGACACTTGGGAGGAGGAAGCCCATGTGCCATCGTTAGTAAGTGCCGGGCTGAGGATCCAAATCCAGTTTTGTGGCTCCAGACCCCATGAGTAGATGAGGTTTTCCCTGCCTTCTGGCAACACGCCTTCCTACTTCTCTTCAGGATCTTTCTGACTTCCTGAAGCGTATTTTTTCTTCAATCTATTAGCCATGGTCCACCATCAAGAGGCTTCCTGCCAAGCCACCTACTGATAAATGTTACAGTGCTCCAAAACCAGACACTGGCTAAATGACGAGCAGCAGAGGGGACCCTGTGTGAGAGAAGCCTGCCCTCTGTCAGCATCCCTCCAGAAAGCCAGTGTCTCCACAAAGTCGGTTCCTGCCACATCTCCCAGGAGGGCATGTGTTGACAGAGATACAAGAGAAGGTGCCGCTGCGTTACCAGCAGACAAAGGGATGACTGGCACGCCCTGAGGAAAGGGCCTGTGGTGGCAAACCAGTGTTGCCAAGGAGCCTGAAGACAGAGTGGAGACAGAATCGCAGTCTGTCGCCTGTTAGCATGAGGCTGAAGGAAGGCTGAGGTGACCTGGGAGCTCAAGGGCCCTCTAGGGAAGTCACTTCCCCAGCCTCTTCTCCATCACGCCCTGCCACAAGGCCGACCAGCCCCCGCCAGCCCCTGCGTAGGCCCTCATGCTCCATGCCCCTGGCTGTGCCATGCTCCCTCAGGTGGGAGCCTTCTTCCCACATCAGTCCTTGGCTAACACAGGAGCCCACCCACACAGCACGTGGCTCTTCTTCAAATACTTCGGTGGTGGTAGGCTCCTTACCGCAGCTCCTAAGTGTGAGAAGACACTCCCCCAAAACCAAGCTCCTTCTAAGTCCCACCCTCTGATGTGACCTCTGGCCCCCAAAATAAGCTCGTTCCCTCTGCATACGACCTCACTACAGGCAGTTCCCACGATCCCCACTCCTCATTTTGCTTTAGGACCAAATGCCTAAAAGTTCACTGTGCCACTGACTCACCGCCACCTTGGCCATGTTCTTCTGGTGGCCCTAAGCAGTCAACGCCCCTCAGACATTTTGGCATCAAGATTGTAAACTGTACTCTACCTAGCTGGCACTGAGCATGCTCACCTGAGAAGCTGCTTCTGGTGACTCTGGGGCCTGCAAGCCTAGTCAATGTCAGGGACCTTTACTCCTCTCACTAGACAGGCTCTGCCCAGGCTCAAACCACCAGTACTTCCCCAAAAGCTAATGACTCAAAAACACACAGTGAGTTCAGACCTCCCCCTTGAGCTTCTTGGGTCCAACTGCTGCACTCATCCTCGCCCACGAGTCCTAAGGCTCTACCTTCCCACTGATGTGCACATGTTACCTGTCTGTTCACTTTGTCTGCCTCGGTGCGGACAGACCAACAAGTGAAAGGGGTGGTCAAAGGACAAGAAAGATGCACAGGATAACCATACAAACAGAGAGGTACTTGAGCAATAACCACATTCTTCAGATGATCAAGAAAGGCAGGCCAGGCCATGTGCTGCCTACCCACTGTCCTCGAGTCAGCCCTCAAAACCCCAGGGATCGAAGGAAACCAGAGCTAGCAGCACTGATCCCACAACCCTCAAGCGTGACTGTAACTGCATTCCAAAGCAGTCCACAGAGGAAAAACACTAAGCCAGCTCTCCACAAACACAACCGTGCCGTCAAGCACACATCCCTCTCTTTCTGGAAAGAAAAAAAAACTCAAAACATTGCCACAGAAAAGCCTGTGCAGAAACAAGCCAGGACTGTCTCCGGGCAGATCCCCCTTCTGTGGGGTCAGGTCACTGACCTTCACGTGGCTGAAGTCACCAGTTCTGCTGCTCTCGGTGGGGTTGGCAGGTTTGCTGTCCACTCGGGGCCTAACGACCTGTCGGAAAGGACTGGACAGTGGGAAGCCACTGACGCTGATTCCATCTGAAAAATAAGAACAGAAACATTGAATAAGATGTTAGCTTGACTTTTTTAAATCTAGGGGTTTTTTTGTTTCAAATATACTACCTGAGACAAACCTTCCCACTTCTGTCCTTGCTCTTATGCTACCAGACAAAAGGACTAAAGAGCAGCCTTCTCATGAAATGGTGCTGGAACAAGTGGACGTCCCCACATGAGAACACACACCTGGACGAGGGGACGTCCCCATGCAAGAAAACGCACCTGGACAAGGGGACGTCCCCACATGAGAATACACACCTGGACGAGGGGACGTCCCCACGCGAGAATATGCACCTGGACGAGAGGACGTCCCCACGTGAGAATACGCACCTGGACGAGGGGACGTCCCCACGCGAGAATATGCACCTGGACGAGGGGACGTCCCCACGTGAGAATACACACCTGGACGAGGGGACGTCCCCACGTGAGAATACGCACCTGGATGAGGGGACGTCCCCACATGAGAAAAAGCACCTGGACGAGGGGACGTCCCCACATGAGAATACGCACCTGGACGAGGGGACATCCCCACGCGAGAAAACCCACCTGGACGAGGGGACGTCCCCACACGAGAATATGCACCTGGACGAGGGGACGTCCCCACATGAGAATACACACCTGGATGAGGGGACGTCCCCACGTGAGAAAACACACTTGGACGAGGGGACGTCCCCATGCGAGAAAACACACCTGGATGAGGAAGCGTACCCAGGCGAGAAAACACACCTGGATGAGGGGGCGTACCCACATGAGAACACATACCTGGATGAGGGGACGTCCCCACACGAGAAAATGCACCCGGATGAGGGGATGTCCCCACGTGAGAAAATGCACCTGGATGAGGGGATGTCCCCAAGTGAGAAAATGCACCTGGATGAGGGGAACTTCCCACACGAGAAAACATGCTTGGAAGATGATGACAAGGGGACGTCCCCACGCAAGAAAATGCTCCTGGATGAGGGGACATCCCCATTTGAGAAATAACACCTGGACAAGGAGATATCCCCACATGAGAAAATGCACCTTGACAAGAGGACATCCACACACAAGAAAAACGCATCTAGATGAATGGATGTATCCACGCAAGAAAACACACCTGGACAAGGGGACGTTCCCATGCAAGGAAATGCACCTGGACAAGAGAGGACGTCCACACCCGGGAAAATGCACCTGGACAATGGGACGTCCCCACGCAAGGAAACGCACCTGGATGAGGGGACGTCCCCATAGGAGAAAATACACCTGGAGATTTCTCGCCTGGGTACACTCCCTCATCCAGGTGCGTTTTCTTGCGTGGGGATGTCCTCTCGTCCAGGTGTGTATTCTCATGTGGGGACGTCCCCTCATCCAGGTGCATATTCTCACTTGGGGACATCCCCTCATCCAGGTGCATTTTCTTGCATGGGGATGTCCCCTCGTCCAGGTGCGTATTCTCATGTGGGTACATCCCCTCATCCAGGTGCATTTTCTCACCTGGGTACATTCTCTCATCCAGGTGCGTTTTCTCACCTGGGTACACTCCCTCATCCAGGTGCGTTTTCTCACATGGGGACGTCCCCTCATCCAGGTGCATTTTCTCGCATGGGGACATCCCCTTGTCCAGGTGTGTGTTCTCATGTGGGTACGCCCCCTCATCCAGGTGCATTTTCTCGCCTGGGTACACTCCCTCATCCAGATGCATTTTCTCACGTGGGGACGTGCCCTCGTCCAGGTGCATATTCTCACGTGGGGACGTCCCCTCATCCAGGTGCGTATTTTCATGTGGGTACATCCCCTCATCCAGGTGCATTTTCTCGCCTGGGTACACTCCCTCATCCAAGTGCGTTTTCTCGCCTGGGTACACTCCTTCATCCAGGTGTGTTATCTCGCGTGGGGATGTCCTCTCGTCCAGGTACGTTTTCTCATGTGGGGACGTCCTCTCATCCAGGTGTGTGTTCTCATGTGGGGACGTCCACTTGTTCCAGCACCATTTCATGAGAAGACTGCTCTTTAGTCCTTTTGTCTGATAGCATAAGAGCAAGGACAGAAGTGGGAAGGTTTGTCTCCAATAGTATATTTGAAACAAAAAAAACCCCTAGATTTAAAATGGGAGAAAATGTACCAGGATGAGGGGACTCTCCACGCAAGGAAATGCATCTGGACAAGAATGGACCTAGGAGTGGGTGTCCTCATGCGAGAAAGTGAAGCTAGACACACCATACACCTTTTACAAAAATTAACTCATGAGCCTCTGTTAAGGGTGATAAAAAACTCACAAACAATTAAAGGCAATGTTTGGAATGTGAAGAACATAATTAAGGTCATGGAACCACAGACATGTGAAGATTGTTAAAAAAGCAAATGTTCTGTTGCCTACATACTTACCACATTTAAACCAAAAAAACAGCTAAAGGAGACAGACTTGTCTGTCAACTTGTCATCCTGTGGGGCTTGTACGTTGCTGTGAGGCCTGAAGCCGTGCCACCGGTGTTTCAGACACCAGGAGAGTTGCACATGGTGCACAGGTTTCAACACAGCTTATAGACTAAAACAGACTATGAAGAAGGAGGAGACCATCCACTTCTCAAAAACTGGCCAGGGAAAACCTTATGAATAGTGGAGAAACACTGTCTGATACATTGCTGGGCAACTTCATGAATAGCTCAGAAACAATCTCCAACACAATGCAGGAAGATGAGCCTCTTGGGTCAGAAGGCACTCAAAATAGGACTGGGAAAGAGCTGTCTCATCAGAGTAGAACCAACCTTAGTGATATAGATAAAGTAAGTATTTCAGGACCTCCATGTGCCGACATGGCACATCTCAAACTGAGGAGAAACAGCTGCAAACATCCATTAATAATCGGAACATGGAATGTACGAAACATGAATCTAGGAAAATTGGAAGTTATCAAAAATGAAATAGAACGCATAAAGATTGATATCCTAGGCATTAGTGAGCTGAAATGGATGGCTTTTGGGCATTTTGAATCAGACAACCATATGATCTAATATGCCAGGAATGACAAATGGAAGAGGAATGGTGTGGCATTCATCATCACAAAGGATGTTTCAAGATCTGTCCTGAAGTACAATGCTGTCAGTGATAGGATAATATCCATACATCTAC